CATGAAAAGTAATTTAGAGATGATTTATGCAAGAGTACACGGAAGGATAAGAATAGGTTATGCACAAATACTTCACTGTTTTACTCGAGGGCTCGAGCACCTGCAGATTTGGGGATCTGAGTAGGGCTTACGGGGACGGCTGCACTTTGAAGCCAAACAGTTAGGCCAAGCAAGCCTTTTGTGTTTCTTCTCCTTTTACTCTTTTCCATGCTTCCTAAAAAACCGTGCAGAGCTGTTCTGAGCCTGGCCATTGAAATTAGCGGAAGGCCAAGACAAGCTGACCTCACCTCGGCCTTGTGGAAGGAACCACTCCCGGTGTCCCTGGGAGTGACGTTTTTAGAAACCAAAGAAAATGTTTTTCCTGATTACAACCTTTTGCTTTCAGAAATATCTTTCACTATCTCTGATCCAATTTCAATTGGCAGAGGCCCTGCCATTCGCATGGCAAGATCCCCTGGCCTTCTTCCTAAGCCGAGCATGTAGCCCAGGGCTCACAGGCGCACAAACACTTGAAAGGATCAGGAGAGCTCACAGCACTGACTGATTTCTGTTGAAAAGAGAACAGTGTTTCACCACCACAAATTCTTGTATGGCTGGCTCCATTTGGGGCTTGCCCAAATAGGGGTTTTCTCCAAGTGGACTAGAGTAGTGAAAAAGAGAGATTATTCCCAAGCTGAAAGCCCACTGCCATCCCTTTGAAGGCTTTCACTGGCACCCCAGACCCTAGCACAGTGCAGGAGTGGGCGCCACACTGGGTCAGCCATGACTCAGGATGTCAGTGCCGGGCAAGGCACAGACAGAACAAGTATTCAGAAGGAAACAATTTCTCGTTGTGCTTGTTGTTTGTTGTGATACGGTGAAAGCAATTCTCAGATTGATATGTTTCTTCTTATTGAAACTGTTCTATTTTTCTTATTTCTTTTACACACACACACACACACACACACACACACAACAGTGTTACTTGCTGAGGTCTAGCAAAGTGAGAAAGGATTCAATTAACAAAAGGAACACCACTCCGAGAGGTAATGGTGTGTTACAGTGATTGCACCGCCTGCTTTCAGGAGAACAGTCAGAAGCCTGAGCCTTGGTGTTAGTTTTCATATAATGTCACTGTCACCCTGATCATATCAGCTTGTCTTTCTGGGCCCCGGCTTCCTCACTGGTGTGTTAAGAGTAGAATTGTAAAGGAGTGTTTCAGTGGTCTTGCGTTTCTATCTCCAAGTTGGATAAGAGCCTGTTTAAGATGTGACATTCTCCAAGGTTTACATTGTTGAGGACATGTACTAGACAGAGAGATCTCGAGGCAGGGCACTCACCTGATCCCAGATCGCCAGAAAGGCTACAGGGTCGGAGAGGGGAATCTTGGTGTTGAGGTAGATTCCCAGCTGGAGCAGCCGCTGCCCTGCTGGGAACTCAGGTTGCCTGGACGACTACTGATGCTGCCCTGTGTCCCCAAGCATCCTGCGCTGCGTGGCAATAGCCACTAAAGACAGCAATGTCAGATACCACCAGTAATTCACCTGTACCAAATCCGGTCTGGGTGGTGGGCTGCCCCTGTGGTCCCTCTGGTCACAGGAGCCCTCCCTGGGGTTTGCTCTGTGCCTCGATGTGCTGAGCAGGCCTGAGGCTCAGCTGCCCACTTCCACCTTGTCCTGACTACTCAGCCTTCGCCCACACAGGGGACTGTCAGAAATGAAATGAATCCTCCTTCGTGGCATTTCTGGTGTTCTAAAGCCTTCCCAAGTAAGGGGCCCAGAGCAGAGCTGAGCCCTGAGGAAACTGCCTCCCTCTGCAGTGCCCCTTCCCTGCCTCCTTCTCCGTCTCCAAGTTCCCCTGTCCTCTCTAGACCTCCAGCTTTGCTCATATTCTTCCTCCGCTTCTCACTTTACTGAATTTAATGAATTCTGGGCTCATCTCAGCATCTCTCTTCCCACCAACAAGCCTCTGGCTTCACTCGGCACATGCAATCAGTTCGCCCATCCTTACTGAAAGAAGAAAAGGAAATCATCTCAGGGCAAAGCCTACCATCTGCCTGTGTGGTCTTTCCTCCGCTCCCAGTCACAATCCCACATTTGAAACAGTGGCCAACATTCACTGCCGCCTGTGCTGTCCTTTCAGTCACTTCTCAGGCTGTGTCTTTTGCTATTTGGCTATAAATTCTCCAGCCCTATTAAATTATTTTGTCAAAGGCCAAAACAATACTGTGATTGCCAAACTTAGCAATTTCTACAGGGAGGATAAAGCAAGTGATAAATGTAACAGGCTTCTATCAGAGCCTGGCACACAATTAAGCCCTCAATAAATGTTAACTACAGCGATAATAATTGTAATGATGGTGGCAATAATAGAGCTCCTGCCAACATAAATTCTACACATTTTCAAGTTAGTTTAATTCTAGAAACTTCGCTAACCACACAGAGACCTTGCTCTTCTGCATGGCAACAGGACCCCTGCTTGCCCAGTGTTAGCTGTTTGTCCAAGTTACCAACACTTAGCTGCTGCTTAGCCCCCAGCAATAGCTTCAGCTTTTGTCTGTGGCTCTTTTCTGTCTCACTTCAAGTCCACGGTTGAGGTAGACACTCCCATGACACAGGCAAAACCGCTTGAGCATCGCTTTCTCTTAACTACCATGGTAACTCCAGGAATGCTTGTGCGATTTCTTAAGTCAGAATAAATTTTAATTTTATGAGATTTAGCAAGAAAAAGGTCAGCTCCTTCTTTTTTTTGCAGAAGCCCAGGAAAGATGTGAACCCCAGGGTGACTTGCCACCCATGGCTGACATTGACTTGGGAAGCGAAATCAGAGAGAAGGAGAGGACAGGGATGGAGCTCAGAGGTGTAGTGCCTGCCTGTCGAGCGCAAGGTTCTGAATTCAACTCCTGGTGGAAAGAGAGAAAGAAAGAAAAGAAGGAAGGAAGGAAGGAAGGAAGGAAGGAAGGAAGGAAGGAAGGAAGGAAGGAAGGAAGGAGAGAGAGAGAGAGAGAGAGAGAGAGAGAGAAAGCTGGTTCCTGACCACACAGAGAGCAGAGCGAAGCTTTCTCTAGAGCCATTCTACCTCACTGGTCACCAAGTTAAATGAACCTTTAAATTCTTCCCTTTAAACATGCTCAGAGGTTTTCCTTTGCCTCTAACAGCAGAATCCTAATCAATATAATGTTCACATAACTTACTTTACACACATCTTCTTGTGAATGTTTGTCTCGTGCTCCATTATATCTGTGTAATTGTCCGTATCATAGTAGATTCTCACCTGTGTTCATATGCCCATGAATGTCTCCATTGTTGGTATCATTCATGTTATTTAGTATACTCTACTCCTGTTTAGATATCTTGCTTCCTCTGCAGTTATGTTTCTCAAGTTATTTATCCATCCACTTATACATTTATCACGTGTACCCAATTCAGGGCTGTATGGGTGAAGTCAGTTCAATTGTATGGGTTCAATACTGAGTTCAAAACAAATATGCCCTTGTCCTCATGGAATGTGTCATTCCATAGGGCTGTTAGGAGTTATCACATACATAAATGGGTAACCAATGGCTAAAGATATTTCAGAATAGAACGCACCTCGCCCGCATGGCATTAGACTAATTACTCAGGTTCTGAGATCCCACATCGTGCCTCCTCCTCCTCCCCTTTGATCTACCCAACACAGAGCACACATTTTCAGCTCTCTCATCTGCAGAAGTGGTAAGAACATGACCTATCAGAGGGTCGCTAAGGAACTTGGAAAGGCTCTCACTGCCCAACACAACACAGATATTGGTGGTCTGGTTCTTCCTGTCATTACAATGGTTGAAAGTACAGCCCCAAGCCTAAGGATGAGTCCTCTCTTCACTCAGCTCTCTTCCACTTCTATCAGAAATTAACAAGGAAAGAGGCTTCAGTTGACCCAGGACAGGAGCTTCCCTTGCGGAGGGACACGGTACACCCTCCAGCTGCCATCCACACTTCAGCCTTCACCGGCAGCACTAACTCCATCTTCCTCCCTCTTCATTGCTTTGGGACTTGCTGGGGGAAACAGGAAGCCATTAAACTCTCTGCTCCATGAAGTGGCTTTGCAAAGTGCACTGTAAACTGTTTACATTGTCTTTAATTACTTCGGAGCCATATGTCAGCTTGGTATAAAGTGTGAAGATTACAGGAGCAGGGTGGGGGGAGTAGGTGACAATGTGGTGATTTATGGTAACTAGAAAAATTATGTATGGAAATGAGCACAATTTAAAAACACATCTATGTGCTATTATAACACTGGAGGGGAAAGAAAAGCCAGTTTATAACAAAGTATCTTTGAAAATAGGAGCATGATGAATATGTAAATGAGACCAATCAACATCAGCTGAGATATGGTATATGCAGATTAGACGGCAGTGAGCCAAAATGTGAAATAGCTCCCAAACCATAAATGTGAACCATATAAAATTCATTTGAAATATTCATGATAACATACGGACAAAAAATATAATCAAGTGATTTATCTGCATATAAAAATAAGACCACTAGTCTGACACTCCAGTCTCCCCTCCAGATCGCCAGGGAAATTTAGAGGAAGAGATTTAGTGAATGAGAACTACTGCAGACACACTAAAAAAGTTGCAACTTCTCCCTACAGTTAGTTTATTGGGTCCACTCTGTACAGATAAAAACAAAGCAAACCAGCTAACTCTAACAGGGCTAGAAAACGTGAGTTCCAATCAGCTCCCAGAGCATTTCCTTGTTAGACGGCTTTGAGCCCCTTCTGCCCAATCTCTGTGACTCAGTCTCCCTGAGCAATGGAGCCCAGACAGCCAATTCCCAAAATAAAGCAAGAACTCCAGTCTTCTGGGAGAAATAAAAAACCAGCGTGTACTGGTTAGACTCTGGGAAAGGGAATGCAAGTCCCTGGACATAACTACGATAATAAAGTCCTGCCGTTCTCATCTCAGGGCACACTCGAGCTTTGCCAACAGAGCTTTAAAAATAATCCTTATGCTTAAATGTCATATCCAGAGACTATATTCCATCTTTAAGGGTGGGTGCAGGGAGCAATCCTTGTTAAAGACCCCTTAGTGCTCCTACTGTACATCTAGAGTTGAATGCCATTTAGGTAGACAACAGTCTGGATACATTGGTACCAGGAATACTTATGAATGTACACAGTGTGTCAGCACAGCATGGCTACAGCAGATCCATAAGAGGAGGTTGGCAAGACACAAGGTCAAGGAGCAGGAGTTAAGGTGAAGTTAAAGTTGTTAAGGTTAAGTTCAGGAGTTAAGTGAGCCAGAGGGAAGGTTGTACCTTACAGGCCTGAGAGACAAGTCTGAGTCTCCTAGTGTGGTGACAATTAAATGGGATGCTCTGAGCACACAATTAAATGGCTGATTTGCACTTTTCTTAAAATTGTTCATACATATGTTTTTATTTACTAATATTTTAAAAGATTTTCATGACCATATTCAAAGGAATGTTAATATACCTTTTGTAATTTATTTGGTTTGGTTTTATCGGTGTTATAAAATGAGCTAGGGAGTATGCTATCAATGTTTGCATTCTGAAAGAATTGTTTTATAGAATTTAATAGAGGATGAATCATTTTTGTCCACAAATTGTGCCAAATCAACTGGGTATCTGTAGGTAAGAAAAGTGGGAATGCAAAAATTAATTCTAAAGGGATCGCAGACTGAAATTTAAAAGCTTAAACTTTTAGAAAAAAAATCAAAACTTTTCATTTGAGATAGGTGAAGATCTCTGCCAAATGAGCACAAGAGGACAGACCCTTCCAGAAGAAGCACAAACATTAGGGGGCCGGCGAGATAGCTCAGCAGCCTAAAGCGCCTGCTTAGGCAAGCGCAGGGACAGCCTGCGGTTTCAGCCCCCACCCGGCACCACGTGCAGTGCCTGCCCCGCCCCCGGGGAAGGCTGAGCCAGCCACAAAAAAAAGAAGAAACATTAGCAGAGCAATAAATAAACGCACTGAGCTGGCAGACTGCTCCGCTAAGGTTTCTTTCCCCTTCAGTTCTGTGCTATTGTGAACTTACCACGTGTGGGCATTCTTAAAGAAACCTTCGTGCGGGCACATATTTTTATTTATTTTGGGTAAATATGAGAACCTGAGGAATTATTTTCAAAGGGCATTCTCCTGTACTACATGCTCACGAGAAATGTGAGCGTTCCAGTTCCTCGACAGCCTCCCGAGATCCTGGATTCCCAGTTAATGGAGGCCGTCCAGGGCTCTGAGGGTGTCTCGCTAAGCTTCCAAGGAGCGCTGCCCCAGTGGCTGGCACCTTTCCTGAGCTACTGCCCGCTACTGCTTTTGCTCATTTGGCGGAGACTTAGAAGTGACTAAGGAAAGGGCTGAGCGGCTAATCCACACAGCAGCGCGGCTCCGCCTCCGCGAAGCACCGCGCCCTGCCGCGCTGCCCACGAGGACACGGCTCCAGAGAGGCCAGCAGCGAGGGCGCAGGGAGGGCACCTACGCCGCGCAGCCAGAGCGCGCACCCAAGCGGTCCGGGTCCTTCCCCTGCACAAGGCTTCCCTTGCATTTGCGTCTGCCAGCTTGCAGCACTACCCTACCAGCGTCAAGAGGGTCAAAGAGGAATATGAAGGAGGTTAAATTTTCCTTTGGTGCCATTGATAATTAGAAGAAAGGATTCACTTTCCTTAGAATTTGGAACCTACAGAAACCAAAACCTAGAGTCACTTTGCACCAGGCCAGTGAGAGCAGGAAGGAAACACCTTCTTGGCGCCTCTCTGCAGCCGAGCTCGGACACGCCAAGTCCTTCCTCGGGAGGGTGGCTGCTGAGAGCAGCGTTAGCCCACGGGTTTGCAACCTCGACTGCCAGCTAAGTTGCAAACTAACTTAGTCAACAACTGGAAAAAGTACGTACTGGGCCAATGAAGCCAGCCTTATAGACCTGAGCCAAGCACGTATTCGCGTCCGGAAAGCGAGTGCTCTTTCCTCATTTCCTGGTCTCCATAAATTTCTGAAAACAAATATTTTTGTTGTATTTATTGCTACAACCAAGAACACAAGAAGCTATTTTCTTGTCACTTTCTGTGTTCATGTGGTTTTACTGTTTCCATTAAGTCTCCTTATTTTCAACTCTTTCTAGTTGGCTCCTTAAAATAAACTCTGCAATATCTAAGAGCTGCCCAGCTCAGAAAGGGAATAATTTATTCACTTTATATTTACATGCCTGGGTTTTTGCTTTGTTTTCCTTTTGTGGGTTCAGTTGGCTTTGTTTCAGTATCAACTTTCTTCATGTGTTGGTGAGGCAGGCGGATGAAGCTCCCAACCTGAAGGTGCCTGGGATGAGTTCATGTTCTCTAAAACCAAAAAATGAGTTTTAGAGCAAACAGAGGTTAAGAGCAGAATATTTATTGGGGGAAAGAAAGCTTCAGTCCAACAGAGGGACAGAAGGGGGACCCAAGTAGGTTACCCTGAGAAGCTGTCTCTCCCAGGGATTTTTATAGAGCAAAAGTGTGGTGAGGCAGGTCCAGGGTAGGGAACAGGGGAACTCAGGTGGGCATATGGTCAAGCAATAAGATTATTAGTACAATCGCTCAGGTAAAATTGATTTAAATCCAGGATCAAATGGGGAAGTGAGTCATGTAGCAAGCGGGCAGGAATATAGAACAGGATTTTATCCGGTAGCCAGTAGCACTTGGATTAGTGCCTTTTCCTGGCTTCCCCAAGGTGGTGATCAATCCAGATGCCTATCTTTAGGGAGCTAAGCGTTCCTCCAATCTTTGGTCTTTAGGTCTGGC